ACTCTTGAGAGTCCCTTGGACTGCAAGGAGATCCAACCAGTCCATCCTAAAGGAGATCAGTCCTGGGTGTTCATTGGAAGGACTGACGCTGAAGCTGAAACTCTAATACTTGGCCATCTGATGCAAAGAGCTGACTCATTTGAAAAGACCCTGATGCTGGGAAAGATTGAGGGCAGGAGGAGAAGGGGACGACAGAGGATGAGATGGGTGGATGGCATCACTGACGCAATGGACATGAGTTTGGGTAAGCTCTGGGAGTTGGTGATGGACAGGGAGGCCTGGCGTGCTGCAGTTCATTGGGTCACAAAGAATCAGACACAACTGAGTGACTGAACTGAACTGAACCATGTATTTGCTAGATACACTTTGTCCTCCTTCACCCAGACCCCAAACTGCTAGCTCCAATGTTATCAGAAAGCTTGACATTTATTATCTTTCTTAGAAGATGCTCTCTTCCTGTGCGGACCACCTGTATGGTTGCCAGCAGTGTAGTCACTGCCAGCAGACTAAAGCCCACCATTCCTGTGTCCACGGGATTTTCCAGACAAGAATACTGGAGCGGGTTGCCATCTCCCACTCCAGGGTATCTTCCTGGACCAGGGATCAAACCCGCATCTCTTGTGTCTCCTGCAATGGCAGGTGGATTCTTTACCACTGAGCCTCCAGGGAAGCCTCTTTTCTTCTATACGGAGAAGTAAACAAGGCAAAAAAGAACCCTAAGTTCAGAAGATGTGCTAAAGCTACAACATGCCTGCTGGACTTCTCAGAGCCTTTCATGTGCAAACACCCCTTGTAAAGCTACCAAAAAAAAAGCAAAACTGCTCATCAAGCTCTAACCACAGGACCACTTGTTGCTGGAGCACATTTTGGCAAACAGATCTAGACAGGTGGTGGGAGGTGATAAATCCATGGGATAAAACACATCTAGGAAAAGTCCTAAGAATGATGAGACTGCATATATATTTCAGTCTTCCCATTCTTATCAAAACCTAAGCTGAATTTCTCTTAGTCTCTCCACTTAGGTACATCATCACCTATAACCCACTTCCAACAGGGCTATTTTGAATCACGGTGCCCAGTGAATTCTAGTCCCAAAGAAAGCAGTTGTTTGGGGATGCAAGAACTCACCAAGGAGAAGTAACTCAAGAGGGGCCTGAGTCTTTCGGAGGACAGGGGCTGGAATAGGTTGGCAGGATCCCAGCAACCACCTCCAGGTCAGACTAATCACAATCAGAGTAACAGAGGGCAGTGAGGTGTGGTGATGCCAAGGAGACATGTCTTTGTTGGGGGCCTGGGGAAAGTCAGTCTTTGAGTTCTATTTGTTTCCATTGTGATGGTAATAATCTCTCTCTTAAAGGGAAGATCTGAGGTAAACCTACAAATGTACCCATTCACTGCTGGCAAGGAGAAGGCATCAAGAAAAAAACCAGCCAATTTTATCATTACTCTTGATCACTAAGGGGGAAAGCATTTTAAAAACCTGAAGCTCCAATACTTTGGCCACCTGATGTGAAGGACTGACTCACTGGAAAAGACCCTGATGCTGGGAAAGATTGAAGGCAGGAGGAGAAGGGGACGAAAGAGGATGAGGTGGTTGGATGGCATCACCAACTTGATGGACATGAGTTTGAGCAAACTCCAGGAGTTGGTGATGGACAGGGAGGCCTGGCATGCTGCAGTCCATGGGGTCGCAAAGAGTTGGACACGACCGAGTGACTGAACTGAACCGGAGATCGAACCCAGGACTCCTGCATTGAGAGCACAGAGTCTTAGCCGCCAGGGAAATCCCAAGACCTTACTAGTTTTTAAGCTCCTTAAAGACCACCTACTTGATCCAACCGCATCATTCTCCTGAAAAGCCCTGAAGGCTCCCCACTGACTTCCACATTATGTACACGTGTCTTTCATAGATCTTCTTCAATAGAGTCGCAATACCTGTGTCTTCAGTTGTTAAGTCATGTCTGACTTTTTGCAATCTTATGGACTGTAGCCCGTCAGGCTTGTCTGTCCATGGGATTTCCTAGGCAAGAATACTGGAGCGAGTTTCCATTTCCTTCTCTAGGGGATCGTCCCAACCCAGGAACTGAAGCCACATCTCCTGCTTTGGCAGTTGGATTGTTTGCCACTTAGCCACCTGGGAAGCCCTTATAGTAACAATAACANAGCGACTGAACTGAACTGAACTGAGTCCAAATGAAGTTCACAGAATTCTTTTTACTGTCAGAATAGCCCTCCAATTTCTAAGTTATTAGTACGTTTTATGAATATACGTCGGAGAAGGCAATGGCACCCCACTCCAGTACTCTTGCCTGGAAAATCCTATGGATGGAGGAGCCTGGTGGGCTGCTGTCTAAGGGGTCGCAAAGAGTCGGAAACGGCTGAAGCGACTTAGCAGCAGCAGCAACAGGAATATACATGCATGTAGAAGAGAAGACACATTTCTTCGGACAGCTCAAATGACTCCCTCAATTGGTTTATACAGACTATGCATGAGATTTATGTATTTATCACTTCTTTGCCTTTATTAATTTTTATTGGGAGTACAGTTGCTTTACAATGACATGTTAGTTTCTATGGTACAGCAAAGTGAATCAGCTATACGTATACATATATGCACTCTTTTTTGGATTTCCTTCCCTTTTAGGTCACCAAAGAGCATTGTTCCTGCACGCCACTGTAGGAGCATGAGATTTAGACTGAAATCCACACACCTCCTTCAGACTAATCAATCTTGAAAGTTTTCTTTCAATTCTGTTTGCAGGTCACCACAGACCAGCTTCCCAAGCCAAATGAAAAACCACACTATAACACAGATGGATTTTAAAGGATGAATCTTTTTTTCCAACAAATGAAATATAACTGGCTTAGATGAGAGGGTAAGTATGTCCTAAGTATGCAACAATTATGAGAACATCAAATTTGCTTTTACATGTCATGACAGACTATTACAATCACCACCACAACCTCAGCAACTAAAGGGGAAAAGTTTGAGAAAGTGATTTTATGGACAAATGACCAAGTTTAAGAGCTTTCAGCAGTCCCCATGAAATCATAACAAAAGCTTCCTCCAGCTGTGTATAGCTGCAGGCTTCTGGGAGGTGGCTCACAGCTCGAGGAAGGGAGAATGGAGAGGAGAGGCCTTGAATCATCTTGGAGGAATACAGTCTTCTCTACTCCCCACTTAGAATTTTGCTAAGGCAAGGACTCCAAAATCACTGTGGACAACGACTACAGACACGAAATTAAAAGACACTTGCTCCTTGGAAGACATGCTATGTCAAACTTGACAGCGTATTAAAAAGCAGAGATGTTACTTTGCCAACAAAGGTCCGTCTAGTCAAAGCTATGGTTTTTCCTGTAGTCATGTATGCATGCGAGAGCTGGACCATGAAGAAGGCAGAGTGCCGAAGAACTGATGCTTCAAACTGTGGTGTTGGAGAAGACTCTTCAGAGTCCCTTGGACTGCAAGGAGATCAAACCAGTCAATCCTAAGGGATATCAACCCTGAATATTCATTGGAAGGACAGAGGCTGAAGCTGAAGCTCCAATACTTTGGTCACCTCATGTGAAGAGCTGACTCACTAGAAAAGACCCTGATGCTGGGAAAGACTGGAGGCAGGAGGAGAAGGGGACGACAGAGGATGAGATGGTTGGATGGTATCACTGAGTCAGTGGACATGAGTTTGAGCAAACTCCGGGAGATAGTGAAGGACAGGGAAGCCTGGGATGTTGCAGTCCATGGGGTCACTCAGACGTGACTGAATGACTGAACAACAACAAGGATTTCCCTGCAAGGATTTTGCTAAAGTGGATCAGTTTAGGAGCTAAACGTGAATGCTCTGGAGCACATCTGTCAGTGTCTGAATCCCAGCAGCTCCACGTCCCAGCTGAGCAACCTCAGACATGCCCTGTCAATAGCTCTTCCTCTGGAGCATGGGGGAAAACCTAAGTGCCAATTTAATGGAGCTGTTCTGAGGATTACATGATACATGTGCCTGGCAATCAGCTGGCGCTCAGTAAATGTTAATTTAATTCATTCTAATTAACACCCTCTACCAGGTCCAGGGCTGAACACACACCCACATCTTCTGACGGCCACATCAGGTGCTGCAGCCCTGGAAAGCTCAGGAAGTTCTTTACTGTGCCATGTTAAATCATCTAGGTCTTCTCTGTCTCTCTTAGTGTCTTCTTTGATTCTTTCAGTGATATTTCAACAAGCATTCTTGAACTTGAAAAAAATCTAAGATAAATCACTACCTCCATGTTCTCCCAAACAACATGAAGGCCTGAGCACAATGCCACCCACTCTCTACAAACATCACTGGATCCCAGGTGATTGCTGACCAATGCTTTGTTTCCTGCTTTCCTTCCTTCCTTCTTTCCTTCTTTCTTCCTCCTCCTCCTGCTTCTTTCTCCTCCCTCCCCTTCTCTCTTTTACGGTTTTAAATAATCAAACCCCGTTGCAACTTACCCTGTTTACCAGTTTCTTTGCTCGGTATGAACAAGCTAGTTCCCTTGGGGATGAGTTGCTAGAGGTACTGAAAGGTGAATGGAGCTGGATTTGTGTTTTATGAGACTGAAGAGCCAAAACAGGCTATGAAATATTTCACCTGGAAATTTATAGTGATTTTCTTTTTTTTTTTTAATCCGGAGACTTTTCAGAATATATGGTCTGCTACACTGCTGGAAATGGAATCAAGCAGGTCACTTTTTCTTTTGTCTCTAAACAGAGAGCATGTCTTAATAATTGTAAAATCTGAGGTTTTCAACTGGAGGGGTGGAGGAGGAGGAGGAAATCTAAAATTGGGGGGGGGGGGGCGTCTTTATCCTGCCAGATGGTAGTGGGGATTTCACTTCCGGTTCGGCAGAGCTGAAAGGAAGGAACTGGCACATTGTTATCAAAACTAGGAAGGCTTAAAGGAAGAGGCAGGAAAGGGTAGAGAAATTGACAGAGAAGATTATTCCTGGGATATGGATCTTGTGCAAAGGACCTGAAGTCATGAAGAATGGAAAGGAAGTGTGGGTAGAGAGACGCAGAAGTGGGCTAGTGACCCTGGACTCAGGCTGAGCCCAGCAGGTGCCCCTGCAGCCCCCACGTCAGTCCCAGCCGGGGCCCCCCAGGGCCAAGGTCCTCTGATTCTAAGTTGCTGCAATACTGGAAAAAAAGAAAGCCCACTTTCCACAAAGGCGCAGGCCCATCCGACTTTGCTAAACTCATGTTTTCATTTTTATTGTTTGCTCCTTTGTAAGAATTAGTTTGCATCTGTTTGCTACGGCTGCCATAACAAAAAGCCACACGCTGAGCAGTTCAGCCACAGAAACTCTCACAGCTCTGGAGAAGTGCACGATCTCGGAGCCTGGGCAGGGTGGGCTTGTCCTCGGGCTGGAAGGCCAGCTGCTGGCGGTGTGCTGACCATCCTGGCCTTCCTTGGCTGCTGCTGCATTGCCCCTGTCTTCACCTGGCATTCCACCATGTGTATCTCTGTGTTCAAATGTCGCTGTTTCACAAGGACACCAATCATATCGGATTAGGGGCCACTCTACCCGAGGATGACCTCATCTTAACTAATTGCATCAGCAACAACGCTACCTCCAAATAAGGTCATACTGGGGACTTCCTTGGCAGTCCAGTGGCTAAGACCCCGAGCTCCAATGCAGGGGCCCCAGGTTCAATCCCTGGTTGGGGAACTGGATCCAGCATGCCACAACTAAGACCCTCTGTAGCCAAATAAATAACAAAAACACACAGTCATATTCTGAGGTCCCAGGGCTTAGAATGTCAACACAGGAATGGGGTGCTGCATGCTAAGTCACTTCAGACATGTCCAACTCTTTGCAACCCAATGGACTGTAGCCAGCCAGGCTCCTCTGTCCATGGGATTCTCCAGGCAAAAATAGTGGAGTGAGTTGCCATACCCTCCTCCAAGGGATCTTCCTGACCCAGGGATCGAACCCATGTCTTTTATGTCTCCTGCACTGGCAGGCAGCTTTAGTACCACTAGCACCACCTGGGAAGCCCAAGGAATTGGGGGAGGGGACCCAATTCAACCTGCAACAATTTTATTGATGACTATCCTTCAGTTCATTCCGACTCTTTGAGACCCCATGAATCGCAGCACCCCAGGCCTCCCTGTCCATCACCAACTCCCGGAGTTTACTCAAACTCATGTCCATTGAGTCGGTGAGGCCATCCAGCCATCTCATCTTCTGTCATCCCCTATCCTTGGACTCCTGCAAACTCCTAAACCAAAGTTGAATTCATTAAGAAAATAAATAAACCAGGCGAGATGGCCCCATAATGCTTCAAGAACTTCCTTGGCAGCTTATGAAAGCAAACCTTCCCTTTAGAGTAAATCTGTGCAGATCACTCAGGCCAGAAAGAAGCCAACTTGTTTTCCAAGCTTGAGAAGAAAGGATCATTTGCCCCCCACCCTCATCCGAAGCCTGGGGAGCCCACGGAACAAGGGGTCCAGCAGCCACCTCATGGCCACCTGCTTGATGGCAAGGTTCGAGCACTTTCCAAAAGAAGGAAGTAGGAGAACGGGGCAGGGCAAGCAGCCCTTGAGATGTTTAACTCTCATTAACAGGAGCAAGAATCTGTCTCGTTCTGGTGCAGACTGTCTGACCCTCTAGCTCCTTCCTTGCCAAGCCCCAGGGCCCATAAATAAGCAAGTCAGAATAAGAAGTAACCACGGGGTTGGCACCGAGCAGGCAGGAGCGTGCATCCAGATCCCAGTTAGGCTGCGCTGCCTCTGCCAGACCTCACGGGGGCCTCCAGGTCCAGGCTCCTTCAAGGCCAGGAGGAAGCCAAGAGCACGGAGCCTCCGTGGACCTGGGACCTGGGAGGTACAATCAGAGGGCCAGGGGTGCAGAGGCTGGAGGCCGCCTGCCCGGGTGAATGCCCTGGACTACTAACCACCCCATCACCCCGTATGACCGCCTGAGTCTCGATTTTCTCAACTGGAAAATGGGGATGCTAGTAGAACTCTTAGGGCTGCTGTAAGATTCAAATCAACGAATCCACACGAACTTGCTTAGAGGATGCCTGCTACGGAGACGTCACTGCAAATGTTAGCTACTATTATCACTGCTTGGGGGGCATAGGCTAAGAGGGCGGAACTTGTTTGGAGCCTGGAATCCCCATTCTTTGAAAAATGAAGGTGTCTCACGTGGATGCACCTCAAGACTGTCACAGAGAGTGATGCAAGAAAGAGAAGAACAAATACCGTATAATAGCGCATATACGTGGCATCTAGAAAAGTGGTATAATGATCTTATTTGCAAAGCAGAAACAGACACAGACGTACATAACAAATGTACGGACGCCGAGGGGATAAAGGAAGGCTGAGATGAATTGGGAAATTGAAATTGACATATACACACCACTATGTGTAAAATAGATCACTAATGAGAACTGACTGTATAGCACAGGGAATGCCACTCAATGCTAAACGGGAAGGAAATTCAAAAGAGAGGGGATGTATGTAAATGTACGGCTGATTCACTTTGTTGGTACAGCAGAAATTAACATAACATTGTAAAACAGCTATCCTCCCAAAAAAATTTAATTTAAAAATTAAGTTGTCTCAGAAATACAAGAAAAATGGAGCTCTCCAACACCCTATTTTTCTCCCGTGGTGAAGGAGAATACACGCGGGTCTAAGATACTTGCCTCCATCTGCAGGTATTAGAAAGCTCCTGGATCTAACACTTATTAGATGCATCACCTCGACCAAAGTCCAAAAATCTCTACGAGGCCATCGTTTCCTCCAAGGTAACATGGAGGAAGTGGCTTTCTCCTACTGTTGTGTGAAGAATAAATATGAAAAAGTACGTAGCACGCTCAGCAGAATAACTGCACCACAACTACTGCAACCAAATGAATAAATAAGTTTTTTTCAATGCATTTTTAAAGGAAGATGTCCTACAAATCCCATGAGTTACACACGAAAAGGTTGAAAGAGCAGGACCCTGGGAATGAGGGAGACAGAGATGCTGCTCACCCACCGGGCTGGCGCATCTTTATCTTTTTACATCCTATTCTGATTCCAGAAGCTGCGGTGTCTCCTCTTCCTTTCTTGGCACCACGAACACAGCAGAGACGAGGCAGCCGGCCCCACAAGGTCCCACAGATGCGGGAGAATCACCGCATCTGAAGGCCAGGGTGGAGGATGCAAGCAGGAGGTAATCATCACAGAAAGCAGGGCTGCGGAGAGCCCAGTGGTGCACCCGAGTCACAAAAACAGCTGCTCCGACTGCAGGATTTATCGGCGATGTAATCCCCCTCCTTTCCCCTGAAACACTTGCGCTTCCTAGACCAGCCAAAACCAATGGCAGAGAGACAAGGTAAAATCAGCACACGACAACTACAAACACTAGAAGAGATGAGGAGCAAGGACTTTGTGCAAATGTGGAAAGGTGGTAAGGGGATGGGAACGGGAGGGAAATTTTTAAGCCAATCACCAGGTGTGGCTGTGGCCCCTATAAGCACATGACATGGGTGTGTTATGTCCCCGAAGTGAGTCTGACCGAGATCGAACGCCCAACTCGTTTCAGATCACACTTCCCTCCGAGGTTTGTTTCAGGTGTGTGGCTGCAGAACACAGCACCAAGCATGCGGCTCTGCTTTCTCAGCTAGTTTCTTTTTCTTTTTTTTTTTTTTAGTTGGAGGCTAATTACTTCACATTTCAGTGGGTTTTGTCATACACTGACATGAATCAGCCTAGTTTCTTTCTTTTCTCCTGGCTGGTTGATTGTCTAGCGTGTTGACTTTCATGACTGCTGCCTTCAGGAAGATCTTGCTGCCTGCTTCTCACCACCCAGGACCCAATTTTTCTAATCTTTCTCTAAGGAATAAAAAGTCTCCTGTAAACCTGTTCTTGGGTTTGCCAAAATGCCTAACTTTCTCATTACTGCAGACAAGCAGTGAGGAGATTTCTTTGTTTGGGACTTCATATCCTGCAACTCAAATTCCACACCTATCTGAGGGCGTTGAGATGGGACAGTCATTCAAAAGGTGCACTTGACTTCTGTCCCTGAAGACATTTAAAATGAGGAAATGAGGGGTTCCCTGGTAGCTCAGTGGTGAAGAATTTGCCTCCCAATGCAGGAGAAATGGGTTCGATCCCTGCTCTGGGAAGATTCCACACGCCACCAAGCAACTAAGCTCAACATCTCCACAGCTACTGAGCCTGCGCTCTAGAGCCTTTGTTGTTATTGTTCAGTCACTCAGTCGTGTCCAACTCTTTGCGACCCCATGGACTGCAGCACGCTAGGCCTCCCTGTCCATCACCAACTCCTGGTAGCTCAGTGGTGAAGAATTTGCCTCCCATCCCAATGCAGGAGAAATGGGTTCGATCCCTGCTCTGGGAAGATTCCACACGCCACCAAGCAACTAAGCTCAACATCTCCACAGCTACTGAGCCTGCACTCTAGAGCCTTTGTTGTTATTGTTCACTCACTCAGTCGTGTCCAACTCTTTGCGACCCCATGGACTGCAGCACGCTAGGCCTCCCTGTCCATCACCAACTCCCGGAGTCCACCCAAACTCATGTCCACTGAGTTGGTGATGCCATCCAACCATATCAGCCTCTGTCATCCCCTTCTCCTACCTTCAATCTTTCCCAGCATCAGATTCTTTTCCAATGAATCAGCCCTTCACATCAGGTGGCCAAGGTATTGGAGCTTCAGCTTCAGCATCAATCCTTCCAATGAATATTCAGGGTTGAGTTCTTTTAGGATGGACTGATGTGATCTCCGTGCTGTCCAAGGGACTCTCAAGAGTCTTCTCCAGACCACAGTTTGAAAGCATGAATTCTTCAGCACTCAGCCTTCTTTATAGTCCAACTCCCACATCCGTACATGACTACTGGAAAAACCATATCGTTGACTCTACGGACCTTTGTTGGCAAACTGATGTCTCTGCTTTTTATTTATTTTTTGTTGTTGTTGTTGTTGTTTGTTTGTTTTTTTCTTTTTTTTTTTTTTTCTGCTTTTTAATACGCTGTCTGCTCTAGCACCTGGGGGCTGCAGCTACTGAAGCCCACACGCCCTAGAGCTCACGCTCCCCGACAAAAGCAGCCACCGCAATGAGACACCCGTGCACCACAACTAGAGAGTAGTCAGTGCTCATCACTACTAGAGAAGAGCCCGCAGCAACAGTGACCCAGCACAGCCAAAATACAAGAGTAAATACAATTATTTTTTTAAAAAGGAATAAATGAAGAAATGAGAAATGCATTATCAACCACGTCCTCCAAAGAATCAATTCATCTCCCCTAACTTGTAATGAACAGAGCCTGTCCCCAGCCAGAAAATATCTTATTATCCCATGCTAGGAAACTAGAACTCGAGAAGCTGAGGGTGTTCACGTCTGCTGACGCAAAGGAAAAATCTGCTCTGAACCTGCCACCAAAAATAGCCACGACTTTCTCCCTTTCCGTGGTGACAAGTCTCTTTCATATTCTGATGCTTGATTTGAAGGGATACAAAGAGAACAGCTGCAATGTCTCTGGAAAATATCACATGAAAATTTACAGTTTAGGTAGAAAGGAGAATTAAAACACGGCAAATCCAAGTGAATATCTAGTAAATTCCTTGCTGACTGTAAACTTGTGACATGTTTTTATCAGTGATATTGACAGTCATGTA